GAATTTAATGTACTAAAATAATATAACGCATTCAATTGTATGCTTTAAGGAACAGACTAACAATGAAAAAAAATATATATAACAATAACATCCTTCAGTAACGCAACTATTTCCTTCGCCATAAGAAACTGTTAACATACATGAGCCACAGGAGAAGACACCTCAGGGCACCAAAAAGTATATACACATTTGGCATATATATATACATGTGCAGGTCTACCTATTTTTATATATAAAGGGAGTTATGGTGGTTACAGCATTTTGGTCTCACTTTTTTCCTTTCTTTATCGAGGGATTTTTTTTCATTTATACATATTGCCCTTGGAATGGAATGGATTAATTTGGTTCCAGTCTTTAATGTTTTCCTTATATAAAAAAAAGGAAGTTTAACAAGTTTTCAGTAAGTGACATGTGCCATTGTCTTAATCATTTCTCAAAAGACTGAGAAAAAACAATGATAGTCATCATCATAATAAGAAAGCTTCAACACTATATTATAACAACTATGTACAAGCTGCAGTAATACACCAATGCAGTTCAAATCATGTCATATCATGATGAAGAATTGGCAACTGGAAAGAGTAAGAGAGGTAGAAGGGGACAGAGAGAGACAGAGAGAGAGGAAGAAAAGAAACCTCCTTTCCGCACCCTTTCTACTAAGTCTACCCCATCCCCTGCCTACAACTCACTCCACCCACCATATCCTCCCTCTTCTAGGCATCACCAGCCAAGGTGAGACACAGGGCTCACTACAAAAGCATTAAAATGGATGTGAATAGCAACAAAATCTTTGGGAGAATCTGTTTAGTCAGGATTTTCCCTCTTCCATAAAAGCTCCTACTAGTCAAAGTATCTGCTGGTCTTTTTTCCCTTTTTTTACGAGGCACGCAGATTTAACACACTAAGTGAATAAGAAAAATAAAATATATATGTATGTATATAATCACCTGTCTCAAGTCTACATAATAGCAAGCATATTGTCAACCTTTTGAGAGAGAGAAAAATCAAATTGAAGTCTTCTTTTACAAAGCTTTCCCCTATACAAGGCAGTTCTGGCTGCAGTGCCTTCAATCAAACTTGACTAGATTACCTCCACATCACAAATTCTGTCATTACTGGATGAAATGTGCAGTCCTCTGTGCCTAACTCACCTTGCAATAATCTTAAACATGTGTCTTTCAGTCTACTGTTAAAAGAAATATAAGGGGAAAAATAGGTTTCTTCTAAAAAGAAACAAAATATTAAAAAAATAAAACCCAGTTCATAAAACTACGCAAGATCATCTTTAAAATCATGGAGTGTGTTGGTCTTAGAAAAGAGAGAGAACGAAAGGAAAAAGTATAGGAAATGGCATCACTAAGCATGTAGCATTATTAAAATTTGTGCTACCTGGTCTACTGTATACAATGGTGGGACTACTTTTCTCTTATAATGACTACAGAAATTATGTCTCTGTCCTTCCTTTGGCTTTACTGATGGCTTTAGCAGTAAAGACTCAGCTAATTCAAATCAGGAAACAGTACACACTATCAGCATAGAAAGAAAAAAGTCCAACAGCATAAATATAATACCAATAATTTCATTTACTTATGGGGGTCTGTATATATGCGTGTGTGAGCCTCTTATACAGTTTATATATAATATCATATGGTATACATTGTATATATATATATAATATATCATACATACACATATAAGATATACACACACGGGCACATACATACAAATTTACATATTCTATTGTATGAACAAAATTCTTTTCTGTCATTTCATCATTTAGCTTGCAGGATGCCAATAAAAAGCTAAATAACATTAAAAAATCAGAGGACCAAAGATTTGTGGCACCTTCCTGTGCTCTCTGACAATGACAAAGGCTACAGTGTTCTTCTTCTGATGTAGAACCCATAACGCAAACATTAATTACCAACAACAGAATATTTCATTCCATTCCTACCTATAAATACTTTTGAGATTTAAATGAATTGTTTGGAAAACATTGTCTTCCTTGTCATAAACCATAAGAAAAAAAAAGAAAACCAAAGATTTTTGTCTAAAATCTTTAAAATTTTAACAATAAAAAATCACATTACTTATCATAAATTGAAACTTTCTCCATATTAAAAAAAATTCATTGGTCTCCCTTTCATCTCAAAAAGGAGGAGGATGAGAGAAAATACGTTTCTCTCTCCCTCCCTCTACCACAACCGAGATGACGTCCAACTTACTGTAATCATCCTCACTAAAACAAAAAATAAAGAGACATGATAAAAAAATTACATATCACCATGGTCCATATCACACACTGTTCCACATCTTTCTCCTGGATCGTGACTCGCAATCACCGAAGCGTCGTTCAAACTGTAGGATTTTGTAGGGGGTTTTCCGTGATGCGAATATCCTTGACACTAGTTGTGGAGCCATTAACTGAGCTTAAGGATGCCTGTCTGGATCCAATGCCGCGACTGTGGACCGCTGGAAGGGACACAAAGGGTCAAGTAAG